TTTGCCCCCTATGAAAGTGTATACCCTTTTTCCTGTGTCCCATTACCTCTCTTTAACTGTATTTTATTAAGATCTTATATGAACCTCAAATCCTAATCACTCCTTTGAGTTCCTCACCACAGAATTCTGCCTACAACTATGTATTGCTGCATGTGCCAGTAAACTGTTTTTATGTTGTTAATTTATATTTCAGTGTGTTTTGTAGGACTCTAGTAAGAAAATTTAGATGATATGGGACAAAGTTGTGGGTTTTTTCCCCTCCCCTACATGGTTCTAATAAAGTCTTTCATACCCTGATGTAATATTTGAAATATTGGATAAATTATCAAGGAAATTAGGACAAATTTCAATTAAACTTCCAATTCCCTAATATTTAAGTGGCATCAGAGCCACCTGGAGTCCATGCTAGATCACAGTCAGTTGGGCCCCTCCTTCAGAATTCCTACTTAAGTCTGAGATGTAACTCAAGTTTTTTTGCTTCTGTGAAAATTATCTTGTGAAGTACATACTGTTACAGTATAACTTTCCTTTTTATTATGAAGAAAATAAGGTTCAGACTACATAACATGCTCAATAGATCCAAAGACTTGCTTTTGTTAAAAGAATGATCCCAGCATTTTTTTTTTTCTTGTTTATGGGGACAAATGTTACTTGGTAACATTTTCCTCTTCACTCTGGTTCCATAACAATTGAGAGCTATTTGGCTAGGCAATGAGACTGACTGAGCAGAGCTTCCTATGGAGTTCTTGTGTTTCATCTAGAGAATCCATTTGGATTATGTATTCGGAAGAGTACATTCAAATTCTTGACTTAAAAACACCTACTTTTGGCAGAGGCAGGTCCAGGACAGACTTGCCAACCCAGCACAGAGCACAGACAAGCTTAGAGCAGCCCCACTGACACCCATGGAGCCTGCACTGGGTCTGAGCTGCATCTTTGAACATATCACCCAATAACACTGCCTGTCACCCCCCACAACCCGACCTGACACCCCATCACTAAAGGCCGCTGCCTCCATCTTGGGATATATTTGTCACCATCTTTAGTTGTGGCAACTCCCAGGTTGGATCACCAGCTGGGCAGGTATCCATAGTCAAAAACTCCCCACTCTCCCTGTAGCCACTAACCCTGCACAGTGACTGCCTAGTATAAAACAGCTCTCCAAGACAGGTGTGCAGCCCCTAGAGTGCAACCCATAAGACCTGCTAAGAGAAAGCTCCTATATTAGGAAGTAGAAAGGGAGGGGTGAGTGAGATACAGTTTAGAGACTAAATTAGAGACCAGGAACTCTAAGGTCTATAGGTAATACAAGGAGATATGACTAGGCACCTACATCACATGAGTGGGCCCCAAAGGAGATCCTTGAGGTGCAGTCTTTTATCAGGAAGAGCTGGTACCATACCCCAATTCCAGGTGCTGTGCACCCAAGACCAACCCTTTTACCCTGGTAACATTCAATATCCTGAGTATGAAGATACCAGAAAATAACAGAAATCATCACCTATTTGATGAGAAGGGAAGCAGGTAAGATACTGAATTCCAACCAAAACAAGCCTTGTTTCTTCCTTAGAGACTTTTTTTTTTCCCTCCCTCTCTATTCTCCCACCCACACATACCCAACATTTGCAAAACCAAGTACTTGGCATAAATTAGGATACTGAGGACTGGGATGTCTGAATAATATGGCTGTGTTATATATTTGTTTATCTCCTATTTTAACATTTTTAATTTCTTTTAATATTTATATGTATCTGTTTATATATTCTATTGTCTTCCCACTTACTTGTCTCCCCAAAATCATTTCCTCTCTCTTCCCCTGCTACTACTCAACTTTCTCATACTTCCTAAAATCTAACAATTCTATATCCTCACCTCCTACCCCCTCAACATCTCATTTTACACCTCACCCAGGTTCTTTATCCACCATCAGCAACTGTAAACCCTTTTGCAAATCTATTGTTTATATTGTAGAAATTAATTGAACTCACCATTTCTGTACATTGTGACAAAACTGTAAATGCCTTAAAATGCCTTAATAGCAACCATTTAGTTTTAGGTTGTATATTGGTTGTATTGGGATCTGTTAACATTGTTTTCCCCTTCAAGGAGAGGTACTGGAACCCTGCGGGGGCACTATAAGCCTAAAGTGTAAAAATTGTAACACCTCAGATCTGCAGTGCTAGAAGGAAAGACACAGGGTCGACATGAAAAAAAAAAAAAAGAAAGAAAAGAAAAGAAAAAAGTGTCCTAAACAAATCAAGGTAGTACATTATTAGAATCTATGGCTAAAACAACAGAAGAAATTACAGAGAAGGAGTTCAGGATGTACATTATTAAAATGTTCTGTAAATTAAAGGATGATATAAGAGAACAAATACAGGCAGCAAATATCTTTTCAGTAAAGAGCTACATAAGTACAGGAAGCAAAAGAAAGCAATTAGAGGTATTGAAATAAATAAAAAAAAACAGAAATTCTTGCAATGAAAGAAACAGTGAACAAAATTGAAAGCTCAATAGAAAGCATAAACAACAGAATATAGATAACCTGGAAGACAGGACTTCAGACAATGAAATAAAAATATATAATCTTGAAAAGAATGTAGATCACAGAGTGAAGATGGTAAGAAACCATGAACAGAACATTCAAGAAATAAATGACCTAACATTACATCTCAAAGCCCTAGAAAAAGAAGAACAAATCAACACCAAAAGCAGTAGAAGACAGGAAATAATTAAGCTTAGAGCTTAAATCAATGAAATTAAAACAAAAGAAACAACTGAAAAATTGACAAAACAAAAAGTTGGCTCTTTAAAAAAAGAAGTAAAATTGATAAAACTTTAGTCATGCTAATGAAGAGAAGGAGAGAGAAAACTCAAATTACTACTATCTGTAATGAAAATGAAAATGTCATGGCAGACACTGTAGAAATTCAGACAATAATTAGAAATTATTTTGAAAATTTGTACTCCAATAAATAGAAAATACCAAAGGCATCCACAAATTTCTAGAGTCACATGATTTGCCCAAACTGAACCAAAATTATATACATGATTTAAACAGATCAATTTCAAGTAATGAAATAGAAGATGCCATCAGAAGTCTACCAACCAAGAAAAGCCCAGGACTGGATGGATACACAGCTGAGTTCTACAAGACCTTTGAAAAAGAACTAATACTCATACTCCTCAAATTATTTCATGAAATAGAAAAAGAGGGAACACTTTCAAACTCATTCTTTGAGGCTAATATCACCTTGATTCCAAAACCAGGGAAAGACTCATCAAAAAAAGAAAACTTCAGACCAATATCTCTAATGAACATAGATGTAAAAATTCTCACTAAAATTCTGGCAAATTGAATACAAAAATATATCAAAAAGATAGTGCACCACGATCAGGTGGGGTTCATCCCAGGGATGCAAGGTTGGTTCAACATAGGGAAATCAATAAATGTAATTCATCACATATGAACTTAAAAATAAAAATCATATGATCATCTCAACAGATGCAGAAAAAGCATTTGACAAAATACAGCACCCTTCATTTTCAAAACACTAGAAAAACTAGGGATAACGGGAACATATCTCAACATTGTAAAAGCTATCTATGGTAAGCCCCAGGCCAACATCATTCTAAATGGAGAAAAAAGCATTTCTTCTAAAAACTGGAACAAGATAGAGATGCCCTCTTTCACCACTTCCATTTAATATTGTTCTTGAAACTCTATGCAGAGCAATTAGACAGACAAAAGAAATTAAAGCGATACAGATAGGAAAAGAAGAACTCAAAGTAGCACTATTTGCTGACGATATAATTCTATACATGGAAAACCCAAACACTTCCACCAGAATACTTCTAGAACTAATAAATGAATTCAGTAAAGTAGCAGGATATAAAATCAGCATTCATAAATCAAAAGCGTTTCTATATATCAGTGATAAATCCTCTGAAAGAGAAATGAGGAAACTATCCCATTTATAGTATCCTTAAAAAAATAATAATACTTGGGAATCAACCAAAGCAGTGAAAGACCTATACAATGGAAACTACATAATCCTAAAGAAAGAAATTAAAGAAGATCTTAGAAGATGGAAATATCTACCTTGCTATTAGATAGGCAGAATTAATATTGTCAAAACAACCATACTACCAAAAGCACTATACAGATTTAATGCAATTCCAATCAAAATCCCAATGACATTTCTCATAGAAAGAGCAGTAATGAAATTCATTGGAATAATAAGAGACCTAGAATAGCTAAAGCAATCCTTAGCAAGAAGAGTAAAACAGGTGGCATCACTATATCAGACCTTAAAATATACCATAGAGCTATAGTAACAAAATGACATGGCACAAAAAAAGATTTTTAGATCAATGGTATAGAATAGAGGACACAGAGACAAACCCACATAAATACAGTTATCTTATATTAGAMAAAGGCACCAAAAACATATATTGGAGAAAAGATAACCTCTTCAACAAAATGGTGCTGGGAAAACTGGAAATCCATAACCAAATGAAATTAAGCCCCTATCTGTCACCATACACAAAATTCAACTCAAAGTTGATCAAGGACTTAGCATCTTCTCCTTTTACTTACTAACCAAACCATGTATTCTTCTAGATTCCGAACTTTGAAGTAACACAGCTGCCCCAAAGTAGCATCAGATATTTCCTGTCCCRGACCATTTGTACATGCTTCCAACCTACATGGAGTGGCCTCCCCTCATGGTGGTGATCTATCAGTTTTCCCATTGTAACATAAAACATATTTGCAGTCTGTTTATAATGTTATAATTTATTGAGACAAAGTCTATTATAATTTATTTTAAAAGCTTAACTCGAACAGGTTGGCAGTCTCCAATTTTAAGAAGCTAAACTGTAAAATATGAAGTGGCTAAAAATGAATTGACTTCACTACCTCTTGATTAATTTAGGTAGCATGCCCTGATAAATTGAATTCTTGTGACACTTAGAAGAATAAGAAGCAACAAACCTACCAACACTTGGGTAGCCAGGTGTAGAAGGGTCTCCTCCTGGATTCAGCGTCACCATGAAGTTATCATAGTTAATATTCGCAGTCTTTGGTAAATCACAAGGATCAATATATAGAAGAACACCTCCAAATCCAGCCTTTTCCAATAAAGAAATCTAAAAAAAAAAAAAACAGGGAACAGACTTTTAAAAATATTATCACATACATTCTGAGTTCATATAGCGCCATTTCATGAGTGTAGTTAAGATACTATGCCTTCATTTCCATTCCCTTCTCTCTCTCTTTTTTTTTTTTTCAAAATAAGCAGACACTTCAAGGGCTGAAGAAGCATGAATCTCTGGCTTCAATTTCCAATACCACAAAAAAAGCTAAATTCAATTAAAATTAAATTAAATAAGTAGGTACTCCAGAGTGTCTAATCAATGAGATCAGGCAAATGATTTTTCTACTCATCCCTTCCTACTTCCTCCCCATCTCTATAATATTTAAGTAGAATTCCTATAAAATTTGCATTTAATGTCAGTTGACTGCTTATGGAATTTCTCACTTCTTTTTTTAAAAAAATGTCTAAGTAGATTTAGAATTTCTAATTTTGCAAGATTAACAGAGAAACACCACATGCAATGTTCCCCTTTGAAAAAAACTGTCCTGACTACTCTTATGTCCTTCCCTAGAGCAGAAATCACCGCAGTACTGTGATACATTTCCTCCAGGGCTATGCCTGTCATACCAGTTGTTAAACTGTTGAAAGACTTTCACACGTTTTGGCAAAGAGCCACTGTTCTGAACCTCCCCAGGACCCCACTATATAGTCAATTCTAGTCTCTGTCCTGGATGCCCAGACAGACCTGCCAGATAAGGCGACTAAGGGATTTACACATAAGCCAGTGAGAGGCCTCCTTCTGAATGATTAGCTTCTGCCTGGTCTCTGTCATTAAACATTTTGGAAATAGCCCCTGGTTACTGCCTTTGGAAATATTTAATGTAAAGATTCCCTTCTGTTCTTTAGTAAGTACACAATACATAAGTATAATGGGACAGATGAACTTGACACCATCCAAAGTTCTCTTTATCTTAGCTTGTTAAATTGATTTTATTTTTGTTATGCCTCTTAGTGTAACCTACCTGATTGTAAGGAACAGTAATCATGATTTGCTGATTCTATTTGTTTCCCATGAGAGAGGAAAAGTAATTAAGGAGCATTAAAGGAATAAATGAAAGTAAGACTAAGGGTCATATTGAGAATAGATAGTAGGTGGTTATTGTGTGACTTTAGTTAGTATCTATACTTCACTTCCCAATTATTGCTTTTACTGCTTATTGAGATTTKCAGTGGACTAAGCACAGTAGCTGTGTCCCTGGCTAGACCCTTCCTTGAGGGCAGAGGTCACTCTTATCTTCTCCATCATTGTACCACTTGCATTTAAAAGCATATAGTGAGCATTCAAGAGTATTGCTAAATAAGAAAATGCATGAGTAGGTATAGGTGAGGCACAGCAGCTGTTGAAGAAAATAGAGCCCTGAAAAAATACTTAAATGTACATATACTAGGAATAATAAAATATTTTTTACATACAAAATGACCTTAACTACAAAAGGAAATAATTTGAAAAGAACCTAATATAGAATATAAGTATACCACTTTAATGGTATCTGTCCTACTCCTTTAAAAATGTTCCATACATTACAATTTTTGGTGCAATAAATAATAATTTTTATAACAAAAACTACCATTGAGAACCTAAGTATAATTGACTCATATTTGCCTTCAATAATAAGCCACTTAGATCAGATTTCTGTTATTGTTTTCCCCTCAGTATTTTAATGGAGAAAAGGAAATAATTAAGAAGGAGAGGATGAATGAAAAAGGGGGAAAAAAAGAAACAAGGAATGAGTGAATATGATGAGGTCCAGATTTAAGTTACTCTTCAAATCCTCACCATCCTCACCACTTAAGTCTTTAGGGAGGGCTTCTGATATTACATGCTGAAATAGCTATTCTTTTTTGAAGAGGGAGAGTAGTAGGGATTAAACCCACGGTGCTTCATCACTGAACCGTTTTATTTTTTGAGACATGGTCTTGTTAAGTTGCTGAGGCTGACTTTGAACTTGCGATCCTCCTGCCTCAGCCTCCTAAACCACTGGGATGACAGGTGTATACTACCACACCCAGCTGGAATACTTATTCTGCTTGTTATAGGAGAATGAATAAAAAATCAAAATTCTTTGGAATATTAAAAATATTATTTTATTAACAATTCACTATTATTAGAGAGAAAAAAGATATGGGCAAAAACCAAAAACGAGAAAGTTCCCTTACATATCAAGAGGCATTTAGCATAAACATGACTAGACCCTTCTTTTCAAGGTTGATGCATATAAACACTTACACTTAGAAAATAAGACCATGTTAATACTATTGTGCAATCTGATTTCATTTAGTTAACAATACATAACAAACATTTGTCCTTGTTAAGTACATTTTTATATAATTTAATACCTGTCAAATATTGTATATATGATACAAATAATAATATAACTAGGTGATCAAATGTTATTTAAACAATATGTAATGTTCACAAAAAGCATTTTGTGTTATATTGCAGTAAACTTCCTAGTAGCTAAAGCTCTGCACAAATATCTACCTCCATGAAATATATTTCCATTGGTGAAATGTCTAGGTAAAAGTATTCCTGTCTTTATTAGTTTTGGTAACCTATGTTCCCTCCAGAGAATATAGCAAGTTATAGTTTTACCAGGTAATATGTGCAAGTTCAATAGTTTTACCAGGTATATGTTTAAGTTCAATAATCAAAAACTTATGTGTGTTTTGCTTTTTATGGATTCAGTTCTTCTCTGTCAGCTATGGTCCAAAAATATTAAATGTAATATTCCAGAAATAAGCAATTCATACATTATAAATAACATGCCATTCTGAGTAGCATGATGAAATCTTGAGCCATTGTGTCCATCCTGCCTGGGAAGTAAATCATCCCTTTCTCCAGTTTATCCATGCTCTATACTCTGTTCACTTGTTAAGTCACTAAGCAGTTATCCTGAATATCAGGTTGACTTCTGCAGTACTACAATATTGTGTTACAGTAACCCTTATGAAATAGTCTCATTGCAGTAACTTCAAAATGTGTAGTATTAATATATTATTAGAGATATAATGCAAAGAAATTGGAATATTTAGAATCTGTACATTAAATTTCTTCTGAGCAATTGGACTTTCTTCAGTTTCATATCTAACTTAATATTACCCTGTGAAAAACTAGTTTTATTTTTCAAAACTACTTGACAGTGTTTATAACCTAAAATATGCTGCATATATGACAACTACAAAATCACGTGGGATTAAGTATATACTGCATTAATGAAGCTATCAACATTCTGTTTATATTGGAAATACTTCTACTCTAATAAATACTTCAACCAGTATTTCATTTGCAGAAGAGAACTTAAATATTGTGCAAATTTACTAAAAGTGTATATCCAAAATGTTCATCAGTGATATTACTAATCCTTGAGTAGTTAAAAAATATATATTTCACATTGTATTTCTCAAGATAAGAGAAATCATTAAACCAACTTCCTACTCAAATGCCTTCAACCTCTTTTATTCAACTTAAAAAGGTTCTAACTCTTTGTAGTTTGTATGCCAGGGTTTGCTAATTCCCTTCACACTACATCATACCTTTACTTACATGACAACCCACAAAAATATACCCATCATTTGAAGGCTTTATAATACTGAAAGTGAAACCAAGTGAATTTTTATTTTGTTACTTTTTCCAGAAATTTAAATGATTTGGTTGGTACTTTCAATAGCAATAGATTATGACCTGTTTTGAGAAGAAACTTTATAGTTTCATCATATCTACAGTGCCTAAAAGACTGCCTAGAACAAAATTATATATTTTATTTTTGCTGAGTTGTTGACAAAATGAGGATATGTACCAACTAGCAAATGAATGAATGCTTGAGTGAATATGGTACAAGTGTATCCCATAGTGTATATTATATTAATGTTATTTTGCTTTGCTGTTCATACCCTCTGACTGGAAGACTTGAAATAGATTTTGTTGTGGCATCTTATATGCAAAGTTAGAATGCGAGTACAAGTATTAAACCAGCTTACTTTAAAAACTCAAGTAAACATGCAATTAAATGTATTTTCTCTTTTATCCTCCTTTAAAAATACATAATTAAAAATAGGTCTATTTTGTATTGATTTTTGCTCTGTTTTGTTATCTAAGAGAGACAGGTGGAAAATAACCCAATGGGGTGTGACATTATGATTTGGTCCTGCTGACAGGGTCATATATGAATGTCTTTGACCAGTTTCAAGGTGGCTGATCACATATTTCTTGCTATGAACCATATTAATACATTTCTGCTTGTGTAAAGTACATGAAGTTAGGCTCTATCAATTGACAAATAACCACTTCCAAAATAAATGGCACTACCAATCCATGGACAACAGAGTAGTATTATTGAATAAACCTTAGAGAACTCTAAACTTTTGGGTATTATTTTCTCAGGATAGTGTTTTGGTAAATGAAAGTAGTCAAACTAGGTTTTTATCCTATTGTCCTGGACAATCAATATCTGGGCACTAGGTGGCTACATGGTATTTCAAAATTTAGGAACAATCATTCAAAAGAAAACTAAAAAGTCAGGAGAATAAAAGAGAAAGGCCCCTGCTCTGATTCTTACTAGTTAAGTTCTCTATTCATTTCTATTCTTACTTTTAACTGAAATATCTTTTCGAGTCCAGAAGGAGGAGGATATATTGTCCTTCACACAATTTACTTATTCATGGTATCAAGCAAGGATATATCATTTGAATTCCACACCAGGACATTAATTCATTCACAGTTGTTCCTAAATGGTCAATACATGCTTTTGAACCAGTTGAATGTTAACTGTGCTCTTTTGATTGTCATTGGTCAAAATGAGTGCATGAGGGGCTGGGGTTGTGGCTCAGGGTAGAGTGTTTGCCTCACATGTGTGAGGCACTGGGTTCAATCCTCAGCACCACATGAAAATAAATAAACAAACAAAATAAAGGTATTGTGCCCATCTACAACTAAAAAAAAAAAAAAAAAANTGTGCCCATCTACAACTAAAAAAAAAAAAAAAAAAGAGTGCA